CCGGGGGGTGGGGGTAGGGCCTCGGGGCACGACGCCTCGAGGTCTGGGGGTTGGGAAGGGGGTAGGGCCTCGAGGTCCGGGAGGGGGGGAGTAGGGCCTCGGGGCACGGCGCCTCGAGGTTCGGGAGGGGGGAAGTAGGGCCTCGGGGCACGGCGCCTTGAGGTTTATGAAGCATTTCTAGAAGGGGTGGAGAGGTGGAGGACCAGAGGCTGCAGACACCAAGTTTACGGAGACTTTAGAAGTTTATGAAGCATTTCTAGAAGGGGTTTCTTCTGGATGTGACCTCGCTTTAGCCGATGACTTTAATGTTAGCAGCTCTTGTGTTGGGAAGGTAAGATCGTGATTCATTGTGATGCACCTACTTATAACAAGTAATGAATTTGCTTAACTTTGTTTCACCAAGTTTTGTACCATAAATATTGATTTTACAAAGAAGTTGCTAAGGGAGGTGGACTCGGTTGTTCAATTGAACAATTGCTTAGCTTTGTGTATATATTTGTATTCTTGCTATCTAAATGATACACTGTTGGGTTTTAGGCTATTAATGCATGAGACTGCCGAGCTGTACTTGGAGAGGCAATTGACATGTCTCACGACCATTAGATTAAATTATCTATGAGAGAGGCTTATGAGAGGTTTAATGACATTTTCTTTTACATTTTTGAATCCATTTGATGGGAAAGTTAATGAGAAGGCAATGATTCTTCCACTAAATTAAAGTTTTCTCTTCACTTTATTGAACCATACACTGTGTTTATCTAATTTGTGAAGAGGGAAGCCAGGATATTATAAATTGGCCCATATACCTAATTTCATGAGACTCAAAATTGACCAATGCCAATTAAGCCCATACAATTGCACTGACCGTTACAGCTTGGAAAGTGATTCTCTCCCTTGTATCTAAATAAAAATAGCTCCCGCCAACAATTTATGCAACACTTGTTAGACTTTGAGATTCAAACAAATCTATTTTTTAACTTGATTATTGTGATTTATATATAGTAAGTAAATTTTAATTCGAAACACTAAGAACTTCATTTTCAAATACACAATCAAATTTAAATTGTTTGACTCTTAAAATTCAAAATCTATCGGATTACAAGGAAGTGAATATAAAAAGCAAACAAAAGAATAAGCCAAAGAAATTCAATGTATAATATATATTATTTTAACCTAATTTTATAATATAATTTTTTGCTAAAGAGGTGTCAAGTGACACCCTTTCAATAAAAGTGATTCCGCCACACCTGTAATATCTCTATCTATATATTTCTTTTCCTTTTTTGATGGATAAAAAAGCATAAATTCCATAGCAATGATCTTATTGTGACTTAGAAAGTTGGTTTGGTCCCTTAATCCTAACTTTGCAATGAAGCTTCATATATATTTCAATATATGTTAAAGGTCAAAAGGTGTTTGGCCCCTTGACCATGAGTGTGTGTTACCTAAAAAGTTGAATTACTTTTTTACTTTTTATTTGATGCAATGCTAACACATTCTTTGGGGACCTCTTCTTTTCTCCACCCAAAAAATAAATAAAAACAATAATAAATTGGTCATGATGCGATGCATGCACACAAATGCCGGCAAATTTGTTTGGAATAACAAAAGTAGATTTGTTTTTCTGGTACAATACGTGCATACATACAATGATACAAACAACTTCTCAACTTTGAGAGGTTAACACATAAGTATCTCCAGGTGCGACGAGTTAGGTTGAAAATGAAAAGATCAAATTGAGGTTGAAAATGAAAAGATCAAATTGAGTTGAGTGAATAAATAAACAAGTGACTGACTCGTTTTGAAATTTACTTAGATTAAGTGAATTCAAATGCATTGTTATATGTAACTCAACACGTCTACTTTTTATTAAATTTTAGTCATTGCCTTAGTTGATCTTTTATAATTTATTTCTTTTTGGATTTTCACCGTAATATTTTGAATCTGCATTGATGCCCAAATTAAATATTAATTAGTGCAAAAGACAAAAATTACATATTTTCAAGGTAAAATTATCATTTGTCCCTTGTAAGTTTATAATTATAGAAATCTCTCAAACTTATACAGTAATATAAGCATTGACACATTAATCTAATGCGCAAGATACATTAATAGTTAAGTAAGATACATTACATTTTATATATGATATATTAATTTGATGCGTGAAATACATTAATCTAATGCACTGATACATTATTCTAATGAATTAACGCTCTCAACAAAAATTCGAATTTAGTGCCTATAGGTAGATATTTTTTGAATCCTTCATACATTGAATCACTAATCTTCTTGTTGAATGGACCACGTGGTGTTGTCTTAGCCAGTAGTTTTTAAGTATTCTATATTTGATTCTATTATC